CTTTCTCAATTTTCTTCCTTTTCTTTTCCTTCCTTCCCTCCTTCAATTCTTCCTTTTCTCCTTCCTTCTCTCTCCCTCAATTTTGTTCCCTTTCCTTTCCTTCCTCCTTTCCTTCCCTCAATTTTGTTTCCTTTCTTTTCCTTCTTTCTCCTTCCTCCCTTCCTTCTCTCCCTCCCTGCTTCCTTCCTTTCCTTCCTCAATTTTCCTTCCTTTTCTCTTCCTCTCTGCTTCCTTCCTTCCCTTCCTCATTTTTCCTTCCTTCCTTTTCTCTTCCTCCCTGCTTCCTTCCTTCCCTTCCCCAATTTTCCTTCCTTCCTTCCTTCCTTCCTTCCTTCCTTCCTTCCTTCCTTCCTTCCTTCCTTCCTTCCTTCCTTTTCTCTCTTCCTCCCTGCTTCCTTCCTTCCCTTCCTCAATTTTCCTTCCTTCCTTCCTTTTCTCTCTTCCTCCCTGCTTCCTTCCTTCCCTTCCTCAATTTTCTTCCCTTTCTTTTCCCTTTTTCTCTCCCTCCCTCCCTCCCTCCTTCCCTTGTTCTCCTTCCTTTTCTTTTCTTCTTTTTCTTTTTCCTCTCACCCTATGAGAAGGAATTTCAGCAAGGCAATGCATGCTTGAGGCAATTCAGAATTGTTTTCCAATTCCCCCCCCCCCCACAACTTGCTGGCTGGTAGGTCCAAGGGCTGCCACTGTTCTGAACTGAACACTAGATGGCAGCAAAGGGTTGAGTTTTTCTGTAGCTCTTGGGCGGCCTCTGTTGGTTATTTGACCCAGCCCCCTTCAATTTTATTTGTCCTAAGTGCAAATGGTCGCTAAGCGAGGCAGTTGCTAACTAAGGACTACTTCAACAACCCAAACACACTGCTTTTCCAAGTCTGAACTGACTGAATTCAGGGGAGATTGCAAGTCACCTTCAAAGGCACTCCGTGTTTAAAAGGGGGAGGGGGCAGGAATGTAAAATGCAGTCGTGGAGGCCATTTTGACTTTTCTGACCCCCTTCCCAATTACAAACCGCCCTGATTGCAACATATGTGCTTGCTAGATGAATGCTACCATCCTGGTTATTCGGGGGGGAGGGGAATCTGGGCCCCAAATATTGGCCAGAATAAAGAAACAGGAGGTGATAAATAAACTTACATTTATTCCTGGTTCATGCAGACGGGCTGATTATAGCTTGCAGCCCAAGAGAGAGTGTTCCTGATTGTAGACCTCTGCAAACTCACACACCATCACACAGACGCAAAATCAAACGCACAGCTCCACTCCCCTTAAAAACGACTTTTTATCCACACTCGCTTCCGTCATTCATCGGAATCCCCTCTGGACGCAGATTTTTTTTTCTTTCTTTTTTTCATTCCCTCCCCCAAGAAAAACACGCAGCCTCCAGGAATCGTGGTCGTTCTTTTTTAATGAATATACTTTATTAAATTATTTTTTTTTCCTGCAAGACTTATTTTTTTTTTGTTTTGTTTTTGTTTTTCTCAATCCCAAAGACATGAAATTAGAAATATCCAGTCGAAAAAGCAAACGGAGAAAGAAAGAAAGAAAGAAAGAAAGAAAGAAAGAAAGAAAGAAAGAAAGAAAGAAAGAAAGAAAGAAGGAAGGAAGGAAGGAAGGAAGGGAAGGAACGGGAAAGAAGAGGGGGGAAGAAAAAAAAGGGGAGAGAACAGGCAGTAGAAAAAATCGTACAGAAGGGTTATTCATGATTATTCGTAGGATTATTTCATATTATTTTTTTCCTGTTTTTTTATATTATTATTATTTTTTTTTCTTGGCTATACAGACATTCTCGGTATACACGGCACGCAGCAAAAGGGTCAGTCACAACCTCATGCAAAAATTCCAGGAAAGGGTCGAAAAAGAGATTCCACGGAGAGGGGGGGAAAGGGACACCATCCTAGACCAAAAGACCTTCAGCACAGCCTCAGCATCACCAGTCCTCGTTCTACGACTCTCGAGGGAGCCTCCTCAATCGTTCCCACGCACCCATCAAACGAAATGAGGGCAGGGGCCAGCTTGGCCCCCGGGCCCTCAGAAGCCCTCTTTTTATTTTTTTATTTTTATTTTTTTGACATTTGCCCTTAAACATGCCTCTCCTTGCTATATCCCAAAGGCAATTCTGTATTGCACATGACACAGCCTAGGCCAGGGGTAGGCCACCTTGGCTCTTTTCTCACTCGTGGACTTCAACTCCCAGAATTCCTCAGCCAGCCACACTGAGGGAAAAGGGAGGTTTCTAAGCTGAGCTAGGCTGGCTCAGGAATTCTGGGAGTTGAAGTCCACGAGTCATAAAAGAGCCAAGGTTGAGGACCCCTGATATAGGGCAGGGGTGGGGAACCTTGGCTCTTTTATGACTCGTGGACTTCAACTCCCAGAATTCCTGAACCAGCCACGCTGAGGGAAAAGGGAGGTTTCCAAGCTGAGCCAGGATGGCTCAGGAATTCTGGGAGTTGAAGTCCACAAGTCTTAAAGTTGCCAAGGTTGAGGACCCCTGATATAGGGCAGGGGTAGGCCACCTTGGCTCTTTTAGGACTCGTGGACTTCAACTCCCAGAATTCCTGAGCCAGCCACACTGAGGGAAAAGGGAGAGGTTCCCATGCTGAGCCAGGCTGGCTCAGGAATTCTGGGAGTTGAAGTCCACGAGTCCTAAAAGAGCCAAGGGTGCCTAACCCTGGCCTAGGAAAACAAAAATAAAGAAAAAAAAATCCAGATTTTTTTATTTTATTTTTGTTTCCTTCTGTTTCGCTTCCGACTATTCCAGGCTGTTCGCTATTGCACATTATCTCTCCAAAGGCACAAGCTTCTTGGATTCGGGGTTTTTTTTTTTTTTGTTCCCCCATAGGGGGTCAACATTTACCCTCTAGAAGGCAAATTATTTTTCCTGGGTCCCCCACCCACCCATCCCCTATAGCTCCTTCCAGCTCCTGGCTTTGCTGCTTCCTTCGCCTGTGAAGATGCTCGGAGGAAAACACAACACCGGTTAAAGTGCTTCATTTCTCGGAGTTTGCCATTCTCTCTCTCTCTCTCTCTCTCTCTTGTATTTTGCAACTTGTCGCCATCCTCAGGAATCAAAGCTGGAGTTAATTCCCCAAAAAAGGTTCTTCGCCATGAGCAAGCATCCTCCTTTTTTTAATTTTTAAGTTTTTAAACCTATCGACCTTTTTCTCCTTCCGTTTCCCCAAACAGAGGCACCATCCCCACGCGCCTCGAATTTTCCCTTCGTGGGAATCGGTGCAACATTCCCGCTTTCCCAAAGTCTTTTTTTTTCTGCCCCCACGCCCACACCCCCCCCAACCCACCTCCCCGGCATCAGGAATCTCCCATTCACCCTCTCGTTTAAGTTTATAAGTTTTTGTTGTTGTCGTTGTTTGTTTGTTTTTGTAAAGTATTCAAACGCTGCGAGAAAAAGGTTTATAAAAGCGTAACGAAAAACGGGGGTGCGGCGATGGTGGCTTGTCGTTTCTTCTTTGTCTCTGTGTGTGTGTGTGTGTAGTGTCTGGTTTGTTTCTTAGTTTCTTGGTTTGTTTTCCCCTTGTCGGTTGTTGTTGTTGTTGTTTTTTTTTTAAAAGAAGGAAGGAAGCAAGCAAAGAGAGAGGAAAAGGGTGCTTTAAAAATAAATAAATCCATAAATAAAGGCGGAGAATTAAAGATGATGGAAGGAAACTAAGAGAGCGGAACCAAATTGTTGTCGGCACCAATACATTTTCTCCAATTTTCTCTAAAGACCGAAGGGTGTTTTCGATTCAGAGAAAGTGGAATGCAGAAAAAAAGCAACCCACCTTTTTGTGTGTTATCATGGGAAACCATCTCTCTGCCTGTGCAGAAGTCCTCGACTTAATGACCATGCATTTAGCGACTGACAAAAATGACCAGGTCCGCACACTAAACTATCCACCCCTAGGGTCACGTGAACAAGGCCGCTGAAAGTTACAAGGCCTCTGAAAAACGTGACTTAGGACTGAGTCCTCGCACTTACGACCATCCCGAAGGTCACGTGAAGCAAATTCGGGCGCTTCGCCACCAGCATGCATTTACGATGGTGGCAGCGTCCCGGGATCACCTGTTTACCATTTGCGACCTTCCCAGCCGGCTTCCGACATGGAATGTCAATGGGAGGGGAAAAGCCGGATTCGCTTAACAACTGCGTGATTCACTTAACGACTGCAGCAAAGATGGTCGTGAAAATTAGGCGTGGCTCCCTTATTACAAAACGCCACAGAAATGCTGATCCTGCATTCCTAAGGCCGGAGGGAAGAATCCCAAACTGACAACTTCGATTTGCAGGAATTGTGTGTGTGTGTGTGTGTGTGTGTGTGTGTAACTTGGTAACAAGCAGACCGGAGACCAAATTTGGAGGTTCTTTCTAATCCAGAGGTTTTCAAACTTGGCCCTTTGATGACTTGTGGACTTCAACTCCCAGAATTCCTCAGCCAGCCACACTGGCTGAGGAATTCTGGGAGTTGAAGTCCACAAGTCATCAAAGGGCCAGGTTTGAAGACCCCAGCTGGTGGACTTCAACTCCCAGAATTCCTCAACTAGGCACGCTGGCTGAGGAATTCTGGGAGTTGAAGTCCACAAGTCATCAAAGACCCCTGCTGTAATCCAACCATCTTAATATTTAATTCTCCGTATTTGGGGGGGGGGAATTCTCCTCCGACTTTGGCTCAATTTTTTTTTTTAAACTCCGGTGCCTTTTTTGTTGTTGTTGTTTTAATGAATTGAACCATTTGGTGGCCAACGGTTCCAACAATGAAGGGGAAAAAGAGGGCTGGATGAAAACAAACAAAAATATATGAATGAACGAAGCAGGAAAAAAAGAAGATGCTCGTTATTTTGGGGGTGTGGGGGGGGGGTGACAGGAGCATAGAGGAGGGAACTCCATGAAAATCGCCAGTAGAAAGAGAGCCCTTTATATGTAAACGATCTAGAAAGTTTATAGTTAAGAGGCAGCTGGAGTCCCAGCTGGGGTGAGTAAAGACATATGAAAAAAGACGTAGGTGGGTGGGGGGGAAGCGGTTGGGGGGGGGTGGGAGAAGAGAGCCAGAGATCAGAGTTTGTTATCAAACTTCTTTGGGGGGAGGGAAGAGGAGGAGGAGAAAATGGGGGTCATTGGGGTTCCTCCAGCCTCCATCATCCCATCTCAAGCCAGGAGGAGGGAGAACAGATAAGCCAAACTCACGTCCACTAACAGGACAGCCGCCACCACCAGCAAATGAGACCCCTGCAAGAAAAGAGAAGTAGAGAGAGAGAAAAAAATCAGAATTAGATTCCAGCCAGGAGGGGTGGAAATTAGATGGAGATGTTGCAACGGCCCACGAGGCTCGGATCATGCCGGAATAACAGAATTAGAAGGGACCTTGGAGGTCATCTAGTCCAGGGCTTTTCAACCAGTGGTACGGGTACTACCTGTGGTACATCAGCACCTGGCAGGTGGGACGCGACCATCCTAGAAAAGTGGCAGCAGGAGAGGGGAACGAGCTGAACCGGTGGCAGCACCGCACAAGCCTGAGCGAGAGACGGCTGGAGCTGCAGGGCTGTCAGGGCTCAGCGGAAGCGCCAGGATCAGTGCTTCTTCGGGGCTGTCAGGGCTCAATGGAAGCGCCAGGATCAGCGCCAGGCTCCAGCTGGAGCTTCTGCTGAGCCCTGAAGAAGCACCAATCAGTTGGAAAACAGTGCTGATCCTGGTGCTTCTGCTGAGCCCTTAAGAAGCACCAATCAGCTGGAATGTTGCAGCATCTCCAGGGTCTTGTGATTGACATTCAGATGCTTGGCAATCGATTCATATTTATGACGGTCACAGTGTCCCAGGGTCATGGGAAGGGACCAAAACCTGCTGCAACCACCCAGCAGACGGGGGGGGGAATAAAAACCAAACACCCCCCACCCCACCCCCGCTGCCAATCCTCAACAGAAATGCTCACAACAATGAAAACCTCGGACAGGAGGAAGAGCGCCGCCGGGCAGACAGGCAGGTGTCTTGCTCGGCTGTGGCTTGGGAGGGGGGCACTTTTTTCAGTGCCACTGTAACTTCGAACAGTCACTAAGCGAACTGTTGTAAGTCGAGGACTACCTGTACTTTATCGCTTTTTTCCTTTTTTTTTTTTTGGTCATCAAGTTTTTGACACCTTGCTAGGCGACTGGGGGTACTCGGATGTTGCCATATCCTAAAAGTGGTACAATGGGTGAAAAGGTAGAAAAGCCCTGTTCTAGTCCAAACCCCTGATCAGGCAGGAGACCCTATGCCCTTTCTGACAAATGGCTGTCCAGTCTCTTCTTAAAAACTTGCACTGGTTAATTGTCCTCACTGTGAGGAAGTTTCTCCTTAGTTCCAGGTTGCTTCTCTCCTTGGTTAGTTTCCATCCGTTGCTCCTTGTTCTGCCCTGGGAAAATAGGTGGAACCCCCCCCCCTTCTTTGTGGCAGCCCCTCAAATACTGGAATTCTGCTATCATGTGTCCCCCCCCAAACTCCTTTTTTTGTCTAGACTGGCCAAACCCAATTCCAGCAACCGTTTTTCGTATGTTTTGGCCTCCGGCTCCTTAATCGTCTTTCTTGCCCTTCTCCGCATGCATCAAGGATGTCCTTAGGCCAGTGGTTCTCAATTTGTGGGTCGGGACCCCATTTGGGGTCGAACGACCATTTCACGGGTCGCCAAACAACGCAGTCCGCCATTTTTCCCCCCCTTTTCCTTAGCTGTGCTCCTCCCTTTTATTCTATTGGCTTTTGAAAGCCAATAGAATAGACTCTCTTGAATAGAGTCTAAATCTATTGGCTTTCAAAAGCCAATAGGAATTGTCCAGGCTGTCTCTGCCCTGCTGAGCCCACCAAGAGTCCCATTCTGCAAACGGTGCTGCACCAGTTGAGTAGTCCTCGACTTACGACCGGTTGAGTAGTCCTCGACTTACGACCGGTTGGGGGTCGCGGCATTAAAAAGGTTGAGAACCACTGATTTAGCATCTTAAAAGACGATACAGATAGTCCTCCGTTTCCGTTTCACGACTGCTCGGAGTTACAACAGCTTTGAAAAGAGCGATTTATGACCTTTTTTTTCAAGCACAGGACCCCCCCCCGGGGTCACGTGATCAAAATTCAGGCAGTTGGCAACTGACTCGCCTAACAACCATCTCGCTTAGCCACGGGAAATTTTGGGCTCCCTTGTGGTCATGAGTCGAGGGCAACCTGAATAAGTACTTTTAACATGCCGGTCTGGGCCTCTCTTTCAACTTTTAAGAAAACCTATTTTTCTCTCCCTAGCCAAAGGCCTTTCCCGCTGCTTCCGCTTGCTTCTTCAGCAGCCATATAATAGGGAGCTGTTTTGGAAATCCTCAAATACACTTCTAGCTTTTCAGAAAGAGACAAACCCAGGCAAGGAAAGAGTCACGAAACCCATAAATTGGTCCCTTGGGGGAAGGGTCTCCTGCTTGAGGAGGGGGTTGGACTAGAAGACCTCCAAGGTCCCTTCCAGCTTTATTCTGAGTATTATAAGAAAGAAAGAAAGAAAGAAAGAAAGAAAGAAAGAAAGAAAGAAAGAAGAGAAAAAAGATAAGAAAGAAAAAGAGAAAGAAAGAAAGAAAGAAAGAAAGAAAAAGAAAGAAAAAGAAAGAAAGAAAGAAAGAAAGAAAGAAAGAAAGAAAGAAAAAAGCAGGAAGGAAGGAGGAAGGAAGGGGATGAAGAAAGAAGAGAAAAAGATAAAAGATAAGAAAGAAAGAAAGAAAGAAAGAAAGAAAGAAAGGGATGAAAGAAAAAAGAGAAAAAGAAAAAAGATAAGAAAGAAAGAAAAAGAAAGAAAGAAAAACAGGAAGGAAGGAAGAAAGAAAGAGGATGAAGAAAGAAAGAAGAGAAAAAAAGAAGAAAGAAAGAAAAAGAAAGAAAGAAGCAGGAAGGAAGGAAGCAGGAAGGAAGGAAGGAACGAAAGAAAGAGGATGAAGAAAGAAAAAAGAGAAAAAGAAAGAAAAAGAAAGAAGGAAGGAAAGAAAGAAAAAGAAAAAAGAAAGAAAGATGAAGAAAGAAAGAAGAGAAAAAGAAAGGAAGGAAGGAAGGAAAGAAAGAAAAAGAAAGAAAGAAAGAAAGAAAGAAAGAAAGAAAGAAAGAAAGAGATGAAGAAAGGAAGAAGAGAAAAAAGATAAGAAAGAAAGAAAAAGAAAGAAAGAAAGAAAAAGAAAGAAAGAAGCAGGAAGGAAGGAAGAAAGAAGGAAGGAAGGAAGCAGGAAGGAAGGAAGGAACGAAAGAAAGAGGATGAAGAAAGAAAAAAGAGAAAAAGAAAGAAAAAGAAAGAAGGAAGGAAGGAAAGAAAGAAAAAGAAAAAAGAAAGAAAGATGAAGAAAAAAAGAAGAGAAAAAGAAAGGAAGGAAGGAAGGAAAGAAAGAAAGAAAAAGAAAGAAAGAAAGAAAGAGATGAAGAAAGGAAGAAGAGAAAAAAGATAAGAAAGAAAGAAAAAGAAAGAAAGAAAGAAAAAGAAAGAAAGAAGCAGGAAGGAAAGAAGAAAGAAGGAAGGAAGGAAGCAGGAAGGAAGGAAGGAACGAAAGAAAGAGGATGAAGAAAGAAAGAAGAGAAGAAGAAAGAGAAAGAAGGAAGGAAGGAAAGAAAAAGAAAGGAAGGAAGGAAGGAAGGAAGGAAGGAAGGAAGGAAGGAAGGAAGGAAGGAAGGACCTGGAATTAAGGAGAAATTTCTTGACAGTGAGAACAAGTAACCAGTGGAACAACTTGCCACCAGAAGTTGTGGGTGCTCCAACACTGGAGCTTTTTCGGAATCAGTGTTCAAATTTCACAAGCCATGCCTGTCTTTTATGCTTTGATCATTTCCTTACTGACCTACACCTGTGTGAACGTATTTATCATTTGTTTCTTTACCCTATAAAAAGGCTTCGTCCTCAGCTTAATAAAAAAGCTCTTTTGCTTTGCCTGAATTACTGGACGGTTCACATTTTCAGGAGGCACCGGGGGAGCCTCAGCCTTGAGGGAACAAGGCTTCATGCCTGGGAAGGAAGGAAGGAAGGAAGGAAGGAAGGAAGGAAGGAAGGAAGGAAGGAAGGAGAAACAGATGAGAAAAGAAAGGGAAGGAAAGAAAGTAAAGAAGGGAAGGAAGGAAGGAGGGTGGGAAGGAGGAAGGGAGGGAGGATGGAATGAAAGGAAGGAAGGAAGAAGATAGGAGAGAAGGAAGGGAAGGAAGGAAGGAGAAAGAGATGAGAAAAGAAGGTGAAGGAAAGAAAGTAAAGAAGGGAAAGAGGGAAGGAGGAAGGGAGGAGGGAATGAAAGGAAGGAAGAGAGGGAGGGAGGGAGGGAGGGAGGGAGGGAGGAGAAAGACATGAGAAGGAAGAACAGGAAGAAAGAGAAGGGAAGGAGGGAGGGAGGGAGGAAGGGAGGAAGGAAGGACGGAAGGAAGGAAGGAAGAAGATAGGAGAGAAGGAAGGGAAGGAAGGAAGGAGAAAGAGATGAGAAAAGAAGGTGAAGGAAAGAAAGTAAAGAAGGGAAGGAGGAAGGGAGGGAGGATGGAATGAAAGGAAGGGAGGGAGGGAGGGAGGGAGGAGAAAGACATGAGAGAAGGAAGAAATGGAGGAAGGAAGGAAGGAAGGAAGGAAGGAAGGAAGGAAGGAAGGAAGGAAGGAAGGAAGGGGAGGCAGAGCTGAGCTGGAGAAGGAACGGGGAAAACAAAGTTGGAAGGGACCTTGGAGGTCTTCTAGTCCAGCCCCCCACTCAAGCCAGAGACCCCGTACCATTTCAGACAAATGGCTGTCCAATCTCTTCTTAAGGAGGAGGAGGAATAATGACAGAATAGGGACCTTGAAGGTCTTCTAGACCAACCCCCTGTAAAGCAGGAGACCCTGTACTCCAATCTCTTCTTAAAATGAGGTGGAGGAGGAGGAAGAGGAGGAAGACGAACAGAATAACAAGAGTTGGGAGGGACCTTGGAGGTCTTCTAGTAGTTCAACACCCTGCTCCAGACAAAAAGGGGGGGGAGGAGGACCTCCCCCCCAAACACACCGCCCCCTTGCAGAGCGTGCTACTCCTGTCCTTTTCAAGCGTGCAGGCTGTACTATTGTCCAACGGTGGAAAATTCTCCCTGAGCCAGCATTTTGCCTCGCTTACGTGCGGGCCCCAGCCGATGGGGCGGGCAGACGGATAAAATATGGGATACAGAGGCAAGGAGGAGGAGGGGGAGGAGGAGGAGGGGGGGACATTTCCCTCCCCCTCCCCCCTAAACACCCAGGTCTACTCAGCGCCCATGTGGCACTTGGCAGCCACAGCCCTGTGGATAATGTTGTCCTTGGCACATCCACCCAGCGAGCGTGCCTAGATTCTACATTGGCCTACATTGATCCCGATGCTCTCCTGCTGCCCCCCCCCCGAATCCCGACTGCGAGTCCCCCCCCCCTTGAGAGCAGAACTGCTGGATTATTGATGACCTGCAGTTCTGCTGCCCTCCCCCCCCCCGCAGCCCTTCCCAGCACCCCCCCCACTGCGGTTCTGTTGACCGATCAACTGGCAGGGCCGGCCTGATGCTGCAGTGAAGGAGGCGGGACCAACAAGGATGCTGTTGCTGGAGAGAGAGACACAGAGAGGATGCGGTTGCCTAGCAACGGGAGGAAGGCGGCTAGCCAATCCCCTGTGGAGGCTAGGGGTTCGGTTTCTTCTCAACCCCCCCCTCCCTCCCTCCCTCCATCCATCCATCCTGCCTGCTTCCTATTCCCAGCTGTATTCCAGCACCAGAAAGAAAGGGAGGGCGGATTAAAATATATATTTTTAAAAAATGAAAATAAAACATGGGGTGGTTTGGGGGGGGGGAAAGGGGGGAGGAAGGAGGAAGGGCAGGCATTGTGAAAAAAAACCTGGGGATTGGTGGTGGTAGTAAAGGGGTGTTTTACGGGGGGGGGGCACTGAGATACGCCACCTTTCCAGGAAGAGGGACAAACCGTGATTTGTTTGCCATCAGGCTGGGATATGCTTGCAAATCCAATTTGGGGGGGGGTCGTCTTATGAACTGGCTGGAGAGAATTGGGGGAGGTTTAGAAAAAGGGTTTGGGGGTTCTCCCCTCCCCGGTTGTGTAAACCCGTGGGAGGGGGGGTGTTAGTCCAGAATGCAGGAGGGTGGGGGGGGCGGGGTGGGGGGGCGCCCTATGGAAAAAGCAGACAATTTTATGGGGAGTTGTTGCAGATTGCAACAAATGGTGTGCATCGCACAAAAACTGGAGTGAGATGCTTCGGGCTGCGAGGATTGTGTTAGCGGAGTGGAGGGGGGGCTATATTCTCTTGGGGGGGGGCAATGATGGCTGGGGGAGGTTTTGCAAAACCTACAGCTTTTTTTCCGACCAATCCCAATTGCAGGTTCAGCCGAAAAACGGGCTGCTCATGGGAAGTCCTCAGCTTAGCGACCGCAACTGGAATGGAAAAATTAGCCGTTCACGAAGCGGGACGCCACGTGATCGCCCTCCGCGGCTTTCTCTGCCCGCTCCCATATTGATTCGGCTTGTCGGAAGCCGGCTTTGGAAGGTCATAACGGGCGAGGACTTGGCCCCAGAGGACGTGGCTGCCCCTGTTGTTAAATATGTGTGTGGCCAAGTGGGCAAATCACAATCGCACCATGGGGGGGGGTGCCTGTGTCCTGGTTGTGAGAGCGACTGTGTCACAAGCCACAAGTCGCTTTTTTCAGGGGCCCTCGTAACTTTACGAGTACAGGCTGTTCCTCGACTTACGACTGCAATTTCTGCGATGGTTGAGTGCATTTTGCCCCGTTTTACGACCTCCCCTGCCTCTGTTGTTAAGTGAATCGCGGCAGTTGCAAACTAGTAACCCGGTCGCTAAGCGAATCCGGCTTCCCCATTGACTTTGCTTGTCGGAAGGTCGCAAAAGGGGGATCACGTGACACTCCCCCCCCCCAGGGATGCTGCGACCGTCACAAGTACGAATCGGTTGCCAAGCGTCTTGAATTTTGATCACGTGATCCCCGGGGATGTTGCCAAGACCGTAACCATGAAAAACGGGCCCACATCACATTCTTTTCTGTGCCGTTTGAACAGCTGCTAAGCGAGCTGTCGTAAAACGAGGACTACGAATAGTTTGTAAGTTGAGGACAACCTGTAGTTTCCACTCATGTTTAGGGGGGGGGGGGGAAACCATGGTTGGCACAATTTTGAACTGGATTGTAAAACCAATCTGGATTATTTGGCAACTTTCCACCTCTGTAGATCCGGCAAACTCAGAAAAGGGGTTACTACGCTGAGCAGATTGAGGGCGACGTGGGGCATACAGGGAGTCCTCGACTTACGACCACAGTTGATCCCCAAATTTATGTTGCTATGTGAGAAATTTAGGAAGTGAGTTTTGCCCCCGTTTTGCTCCTTTCCTCACTACGTTTGTTAAGTGGATTGCTGCTGTTGTGAAATTACTAACACGGTTGTTAAGTGAATCCGGCTTCCTCCGTTGACTTTGCTCGTACGACGGACGCAAAAGGGAATCACGTGACACACACCCCCAGGACGCTGCAACAAGCGTCATCAATGTGAGTCAGTTATTAAGCGTCTGAATGTAAATCACGTGATGGTGAGAAGGCTGCAACGGGATGTGCGAAAAACGCTCATCGGTCCCTCTTTTCACTGTAACTCCAAACGGTCACTAAGCGAAGCACCGTAAGCTGGGGACAAACTGTGTTTTCTTATTTGTCTTAAAAATAATAATAAGGAAAAAAAAAAAACACCTTTCCAAAGTCCGAGCAAGCCTTGAATTTCCCCTGTCTGTGGAGATTCTCAATCACCCCGTTGTGATTGTCCCAAAGATGCTTTTTATTTTTCCAAAGACAACAGGGCTTTTTTAATGTTTTTTTTGTTTGAAAACGTTTCGCTTCCCCTCCAAGAAGCTTCCTCGGTTCAGTTCTAGGAGAGAAGCGAAATGTTTTCAAGGAAAAAAAAACCCAGGAAAGTCCAATGGCCATTGGGAAAAAAAAAAAAAAAGCACCTTTGGGACTTGAACATTCCAGCTTCACCCATTATTGTCCATGGAGTTGTGGCTGCCATTTTGAATGTTTTTTTTTTAATGCCCGCCCTCAACCTCCTTAATTTGCTTCAAAAATTGCCGAACCTTGGAGTGAAAGAAAGATTCAAACTCATTGAACATCTTACTGCTGTAAAGCACAATTTACACATCTCACTATACCGGGGTAGGCAACCTTGGCTCTTTTATGACTTGTGGACTTCAACTCCCAGAATTCCTGAGCCAGCATGCCTGGCTGAGGAATTCTGGGAGTTGAAGTCCACAAGCAGGGGTCTTCAAACTTGGCCCTTTTATGACTCGTGGACTTCAACTCCCAGAATTCCTGAGCCAGCCATGCTGAGGGGAAAGGGAGAGGTTTCCAAGCTGAGCCAGGCTGGCTCAGGAATTCTGGGAGTTGAAGTCCACGAGTCATGAAAGGGCCAAAATTTCCCTCATGCTGGCTTAGGAATTCTGGGAGTTGAAGTCCACAAGTCATAAAAAAGCCAAGGTTGCCTACCCCTGCCCTATACCATGGTTAGGTTTCACCCGTAATTCTAAGCCACAAACCGTGCTTTACAAGTTACAAAGAAGGCAGGTTAGGTCCTACACAAAACCCACAACTCAGCAAAACAGGTTGTGGTTTAACAAGGGATGAAGCATGACTTCTATTATATTAGAAATAATTTTGCTGTCTTTAAACAATGGATAAACCACACCACGCCACTAGCTGTGATTTGCTATTGCGGTTTACTGAATAAACGGCCATTGGCCGATTCCTCACAACACTAAGACACATGTCAGTAAACCCCTTACTGGCTGAAGCACCTTCTGTGGGCCCAGACAAAACTCCCTGTGCTTTTAACACTGATCTGACAGGCAGAAATCCAACTGGTTCAGTTTCCCACAGTATTTGGGGTTCACCTCTTAGAAGCCACCTCCAATCTCAGTTTTCACCAAAGGTATAAAACACGGAAACCATTTTATGCAAAAGCCAAGTTGGTGTGGACGGTGTTTTGCGTGTTCGCCCGAGATGGGACTTCAGTGCCCATCATCCCTGGCCAGGAGGGACGGGAGTTAGCCCAACATATTAAGACGACAGTAGATAGTCATTTACAGAATTTCCCTAAACCCAAACTTTCTTCCCATGTAGGGATGAAACTCCCAAGAATGCTTGCTACCTATCGGAACATTCAAGAGCTCACTTAGCAGAAGAACCAAGTCGGAAGGGACCTTGGAGGTCATCTAGTCCAACTGTCTGCTCAGGCAGGAGACCCTATCTCATTCCAGACAAATGGTCGTCCAAGCTCTTCTTAAAAGTGGTGGAGCACCCACAACTCCAGAAGACAAGTCGTTCCACTGGTTGATTGTTCTCACTGTTAGGAAATTTCTCCTTAATTCCAGGTTGCTTCTCTCCTTGAGTGGTTTCCATCTACTTGGATCTCTTTCCCTGTCGTGGGAATGGGACATGGGAGAGAACCTGAAAACGGGTCAAAGGTTTTGCTCTCTTGACGGGGTGTGTCCAGGAACAGGTCAAAAAAAAAAATACTCAAGAGGGTGGCCACCACCATATGGTGGCCACCACTATATATGATCAACGCAGAATCTCATGATGGTGGACCAGTGTTGACTTTGTTGGCCACTCCTGCAGCCACTTTTGCCTCCAGCATCCTTAGATCTTCTCCCTTTCCTTGGATGACATCCAGGACCACCATCTTCTGCTCTGAAGATGATGGTCTTGGACATTTAGCTCATATCTAGGGCCGTCGGGCATGGTGCTTTTTAGGGCTAAATGGGAGTCACATGCCTAAACTCGCCAATGCTGTCAGAAACCGCACTCAAGCTCAGCTCTAATGTCCATCTAAGGCAGTGGTTCTCAACCTGTGGGTCGGGACCCCATTTGGGGTCGAACGACCATTTCACGGGGGTCGCCAAACAACGCAGTCCGCCATTTTTCCCCCCCTTTTCCTTAGCTGTGCTACTCCCTTTTAGTCTATTGGCTTTTGAAAGCCAATAGAATAGACTCTCTTGAATAGAGTCTAATTCTATTGGCTTTCAAAAGCCAATAGGAATTGTCCAGGCTGTCTCTGCCCTGCTGAGCCCGCCAAAAGTCCCCTTCTGCAAACGGTGCTGCACCAGTTGAGTGGTCCTCGACTTACGACCGGTTGAGTAGTCCTCGACTTACGACCGGTTGGGGGTCGCGGCATTAAAAAGGTTGAGAACCACTGCTCTAAGGTGTCCTTAAAATGTGTTGACCTCTTACCTGTCTCCCCCTTTGGACTGCTTGTAGACTCTCTGGTCCCTTCAGCAGAAGAGAAGATCTGCACAGCTCCTTGTTCTTCAGTTCTGCATCAACCGGAATTCCCAAGGGTGCCGTATCGTCCTGGTTCTCCCCGGGATAAGTCTTAGGAGTGTTCCCTTCTTCCTCTTCTTCCTCCTCCTCTTCTCGGAGGCTGCCCGAGCTGCCGCTAGCTGGGCTGCCCAGCTGAGGGTGCTGAGGGACCCTCTCGTAATCTTCTTCCTCAGCTTCGTAGCTGCTCAGCTGCCCCTGTTCCTCCTCGCCTTCCCACAACCCTTCGGGAACGAGACCTGGTGTCCGAGACGGGAAACTACCCCGCGAACCCCACTCCTCCTCCACATCCAAGGTCTCGGGGAAGTGCTGGCGAGGACCCCCGTTCTCCAAAGGAGGCCAAGTCCGCCGAGGATCCCCCCGCCAGGGTTGCAGCGGAGTGGGAGGGTAACTCGGCGGTAAGCTCGGATCCGGGGTAACGTCTGAAGGGGTGATGCCGTTCTCGTAGACATGAGGACTGTCGTATTCGTGGAAATCGGTGTCGGTGCCTTCCGAATCTAGCCGGCCCCGCGGCTCTGGGGAAGGAGAAGGGAGTGGCAGTTACAAGAAAGAAGGGATAGGTATAAAAAGCTCTGGGTTCAAGAAAGATTGGCGGTGGAAATCGTTTGGATATCGTCCTCTCCTGCTCCCGACTGCAGGAGAAGAATACAGTGGTACCTCGGTACTTGTTGTGAATTGGTTCCGGGAGGCGCGACGAGTACCAACAAGAATGAGTACAAAAAATCAATTTCTCCCGTAAGGAACAGCGTAGTGAGTCACAACCCTGAAAAGTTGTAGCTTGTGCGCTGAGTACCAAACAAAGGATGAATGCCAGGGCAAAATGTTCACGTCAACATTTGCCGAGCACCGGATCTGCTTCAAAGCAGTTGAGTGCCAAGGTAACCCTGTAGCAAAATGTCCACTTGGGATTTTAAAGAAAAGAACAGGGTACGTAAATAGGAGCGACCCGGTTATTTACTATAACGCCCTTTTAAGTTAAATTCCACAGCAGCCTTTTTCAACTTTAGTCACTTTCAGATGGGAATTTCAGCCAGCTTTGGGAATTCTCGGCGTTGAAGTGTGCACAACGTAAAGTCACTACGGTTGAAAAAGACTGTTCTACAGCAACATTAATGTAATATACATGGCACATTATAACAGAATCACAGAGCTGGAAAGGATCTGGGTGGTCTTCTAGTCCAACCCCCTGCTCAGGCAGGAGACCCTACACCAGTGGTGGCGAACCTATGGCACGGGTACCAGAGGTGGCACTCAGAGCTCTCTCTGTGGGCACGCGCGCCGTCGGCCCAGTCCTAGGCCTTCAGCTGGGTTTTATAAAACCTTTTCGCTTTAGGCCTCCACCACCATTTGCAAAAAAAAAAGATTCAATCAATCAGTCAATTTCAACTTCTCGCGGGAAAAAAAAAGATCTTGCAAAGTTGAGATTGATTGATTGAACTTTTTAGTCCCACCCAGTCTGCCGTTACCACCGCAGCCACGCCCACCCAATGGGCCACGCCCACCCAATGGGCCACGCCCACCCAATGGGCCACACCCACCCGGCCCCCGACGATGCATAAGTGGGTTTTGGGTTGCAGTTTGGGCACTCGGTCTCTAAAAGGTTCGCCATCACTGCCCTAAACAATTTCGGACAAATGGTTGTCCAATCTCTTCCTAAAAGGAGGAGGAGGAAGAGGAGGAGGAGGAGGATTAACAGAATAAAGAGTTGGAAGGGACTATGGAGGTCTTCTAGTCCAACCCCCTGCTCAGGCAGGAAACCCTGTAACATTTCAGACAAGTTATTGATCCCAGAAATGTACCATTGGGTTGAGACTCGTGGACCCTTTGAGAAGTTAGGGGTCATGTTTCAGGAGATGGGACCATGCACCGAAAACCCACTGATTCCTTGGACCTTCACCACCACCCCTGCCACAAATGACCACCCCCACCACTCCCATGCTCCAGGGCTGAATTTTGAAGGAAGTAAGAGCGTCTTTACTTCTGGAGAGAAGACTCATCATGCAACCATCTCACCTGAATCCGCTAGAATGGGCTGTAATTCTTGAGCCAAAATCTTGGCCAACCGAGATGCTTCCAACGCCTTTTCGGCTGCCCCCAGGGCAGCGGCCGCCTTCAGACGAGCATCTGCAGCCCTGAGGTGGAGAAAAATTTGGGTCAGCGGGGCGGGGGGGAAGGTCCTTTCTAAAGACTCTCCTCCTAAGGTGGCCCTCCATGATGTTCAAAGACCTGATGGAGAAAGTGCTGGGTCAACGGGGAAAGAAGAATCTTTCTACAGACTCTCCTTCTCAGGTGGCCCTCCACGATGTTCAAAGAATCAGTGGAGAAAGTTTTGGGTCAATGGGGAAAGAAGAACTTTTCTAAAACTTCTCCACCTAAGGTGGCCCTCCCTGACGTTCAAAGAATTGATGGGGAAAGTGTTGGGTCAATGGGAAAAGAAGAATCTTTCTACAGACTCTCCTCTTAAGGTGGTCCTCCATGATGTTCAAAGAATCGATGGAGAAAGTGTTGGGTCAACGGGGAAATAAGAATCTTTCTACAGACTCTTCTCCTAAGGTGGCCCTCCATGACGTTCAAAGAATCGATGGAGAAAGTGTTGGGGTCAATGGGAAAAAAAGGTCCTCTCTGGTGACTCTCCTCTTAAGGTGGCCCTCCATGGCTTTCAAAGAATCACGCCAAGATGGCCAATACTGACCACCTTGGCTACTGTAGAAGCCTCCTAACCAATGTTGCCTCCATAATCTTTGCTCCTCAAGCTCTGAGGCTGGTCCTCAGCTTCAGATCTGGAGCTCCTGAGCCCTTTTGTTTAGTTCTCAGAACACATTATGGATTCAAGTCACAATTTCATTGCAAACAACGGGAGCCAAAGTCACTGATCAACCAAGTTTGGGATAGCTCTAACCCAGTGGTTCTCAACCTGTGGGTCGGGACCCCATTTGGGGTCGAACGACCATTTCACGGGGGTCACCAAACAACGCAGGCCGCCATTTCCCCCCCCCCCTTTTCCTTAGCTGTGCTACTCCCTTTTATTCTATTGGTTTTTGAAAGCCAATAGAATAGACTCTCTTGAATAGAGTCTAATTCTATTGGCTTTCAAAAGCCAATAGGAATTGTCCAGGCTGTCTCTGCCCTGCTGAGCCCGCCAAAAGTCCCATTCTGCAAACGGTGCTGCACCAGTTGAGTAGTCCTCGGCTTACGACTGGTTGAGTAGTCCTCGACTTACAACCGGTTGGGGGTCGCGGTATTAAAAAGGTTGAGAACCACTGCTCTAACCATTTGCACCTGTTCCAACCTTGGCCATTCATCCTGGGATAAATGGATGGAGAATACCCCCCCCCAAATAGTGGAAAATTTGGAAAAACATTTCCATGTCCCATAATTCCATTTTGCTGGTCTTGTCAACTTTGTTGTTGTTGTTATTTAATGTTTTCAACCCGATCCATCGGACGACAGAATTTCGATCAGGAATTTCCAGCAACGGAAATTCTGATGGCTTTGGGGAAAAAGCTGAGATATAGGTAGTCCTCGACTTGTAACCATTCTTTAGTGACCATTCAAGTTATAACAGCAACAAGAGTGTGTCTCACACTTACGACCGTTGCAGCAAGCCCACGGTCATGTGATCAACATCCAGGCACTTGGCAACTGGCCGGTACTTAGGACGGTTGCACTGTTTTGGGTCATGTGACTCCCAGTTGGAAGCTTCCCTGATGAGGAAAGTCAATGGGGGAAGCTGGATTCGCTTAGCAACCGCGTGATTCGCTTAACGACTGCAATGATTCACTTAACAAGTGTGGCAAAAAAAAAGGCCGTAAAAAGGGGCAAAACTCACTTAACCGCTGCTTTGCTTAGCCACAGAAATTTTGGGTCATATGTTGAGGATTATCTATATGTAATTTAATTTCAGGTAGTCCTCCATTTACAACACTTTTTTTAGTGACCGTTCAAAGTTACAAGGGCACTGAAAAAAGCGACTTGTGACCGTTTTTCACACTTAACGACCGTCGCAGCATCCCTGTGATCACGAAATCAGAATTCAGATGCTCAGCAACTGATTCGTATTTAGGACGGTTGCAGCATCGGGGGGAGGGTCACACGATCCTTTTTTGCGACCTTCTGATCAGCAAAGTCAATAGGGAAGTCGGATTTACTTAATAACCATGTTGCTAACAACTGCAGTGACTCACTTAACAACCGTGGGTAAGAAAGTTCGTAAAACGGGGTAAACTCACTTCACATAAGTCTCACTTAACAACATACATTTTGGGCTCAATGGTGGGTGTAAGTTGAGGACCTACGACCTCAACTTCACTTCACATGTCTCACTTAACAACATACATTTTGGGCTCAATGGTGGTCGTAAGTTGAGGACCTACACCTCAACTTCTATATTTTTTTTTCAATTGGACGGTTATTTTCCAAACGTCTCGGCCTCTTAAGAATTGGTAATTTGGTCTGTTTGGTCCATACAGTATGTAGGGAATGTTTGTGGAGAATAAACCTTCTTAAGAAACTTTGCATAATCTTTATTATGCAAAGTGGGACTCTCTCTCAGGACCGGAGATTAAGCCAAATAATAATAATAATAATGATTTGAGGTCACTTTTGGTGAAATGCCGGGCGTTATCTCAGCTTGTTCTACCACCTCAGTGAGACTTAAGATGGTTTATTGGTTAGTACGCTTTGTCCGTACCGCATTATGTCTGAATTAATGCATTGTTAATCGTGTTTTGAGTTTAGCGGGTCATGGGAATCCAGGCTAATTCACATGTTGAAGGAAAAATCTTCTTCATGGTTCAGTCCAAGCCGGGAATAAACAACATGGCGACTACTTTAGAAAGGTTTCTCCTCTTCAATAAACTGCAACCTTCTTTTTAAAGCAGTCGCCATGTTGTTTATTCCTGGCTAAGCATCACACAGAAGCACAGAAATGTGAAGATGGAGGGGAACAGAAAGGTCATCTAATCTGGCATTTCTCAACCTGGGCAGTTTTAAGACAGGTGGACTTCAACTCCCAGAATTCCCCAGCCAACATGGCCTCCCCATGTTGCGGCCTATAAATTTTTGAGGCAAGGGAAGACGGCTCGTTTTTTTTTTTTAAGATGGTCCCTGGGATTCACAGCGCTGACTTTTGGCAGAAGTCCTCAACCTAACGGCCACAGTTGGGGATCAGAACTTCTGTTGCTAAGCAAGGCAATTATTAAGTGGGCCACCCCAAATTTTATGACCTTTTCTACCACTGTTGCTAAGTGAATCACTGCAGCTGTTAGTAACACGGTTGTTAAGTGAATCGGGCTTCTGCCATCGACTTTGCTTGTCCGAAGGTCGCAAAAGGGGATCACATGACCCCCCCGGGACACAGCACCGTCATAAATATGAGTCAGTTGCCAAGCATCTGAATTTTGATCACGTGACCACGGGAGATGCTGGAATGGTTGTAAGTGTGGAAAAACGGCCCTAGGTGACTTTTTCAGTGACGTTGTAATTTTGAACGGTCACTAAATGAAACGGTTGTAAGTCAAGGACTAACTGTATGAGATCTCGAGAGATTGCGAATTGCAGAATTGCTCCCGGCTAGTGTTCAGGTTAGTCCTCGATTTGCAACAGTTCATTTAGTGACGGTTCAAAGTTACAACCGCAACTTAAAAAAAAGGACTTATAACCGTTTTTTCACGCTTACAATCGTTGTGGCATCCCAATGGTCATTGGATCAAAATTCAGACGCTTGGCATCTGGCTCATATTTATAACAGTCACAGTGCCCCGGACTCACGTGATCCCTTTTGCGACCACTTTGAAGGTTAATGCATCAAAATAAAAAGTCCTATTTTTTTTAATCCTTAGACAACCAATTCATCTCTCTCTCTCTTTATCTATCATCCCTTTCTCTCTCTCTCTCTCATCTCTCTAGATATATCTATCTATCATCTCTATCATCTCTCTCTATTTATCTATTTATCATCTCTCTCTCTATTTATCTATCATCTCTCTTTATCATCTTTCTCTCTGTCATCTCTCTCTATCACCTATCTATCATCTCTCTCTCTCTCTATCTACCATCTCTCTATCTATCATCTCTCTATCAATCATCTCTCTATTATCTATCATCTCTATCATCTTTATCATTCTCTCTATCATCTATCTATCTATCTATCTATCATCTCTCTATCTCTATCTATCCTCTCTCTCTATTTATCTATCATCTCTATCATCTTTCTCTCTCATATCGATCTATCTATCTCTATCTATCTATCACCTCTATTTATCTATCTATCATCTCTTTCTATCATCTTTCTGTCATCTCTCTATTATCTCTATTTATCTATATATCATCTATCTATCATATCTATCTATCTATTATCTATTTATCTATTATCTCTCTTTATCTATCATCTTTCTCATCTTTCTCTCATCTCTCTCTCTCTATCATCTCTCTATTTATCTATCTATCCTCTCTATTTATCTATCATCTCTATCATCTTTCTCTCTCTCTTATCTATCCTCTCTCTCTATTTATCTATCTAATCTCTATTTATCTATCATCTCTCTCTTTATCTATCATCTCTCTATCATCTCTCTATCTTCTCTCTATCTATCTATCTATCTATCATCTCTATCTATCATCTTTCTATCTATCATATCTATCTATCATCTTTATCTCTATCATATCTATCTATCTATCTATCTATCTATCTATCTATTATCTATATTTATCTCTCTCTCTCTCTCTCTCTCTCTCTCTCATCTCTGTCTCTGTCTCTTGCACACACATACACACCAGGAAAGACTTTGTGATCATCACATTTTGGTGCTACAAATAAGTTGCTCATTGCAGCTCTCCTTTATTTCTTCCCTTCCCCTCAAAAACATTTTAAAAATTGCCTCCTTGTTTAACAATTACCCAGGATGGGAGAAAAGCTCCTTCTGGATATATATCAAGTCTCTTTTATTTTTTATTTTTGTTAAAACAAGACTGAGTCGCTTGGGCTAGCGAAGTGGACAGCATATAATTTGAATTCATCAATAAAACCATAAAGTGCCGACCGTCCCCAACTTACAACAGTTATTTAGTGACTGTTCAAAGTTACAACGGCGTTTGAAAAAAGGCTCCCGTTTCACACACTTCTGATCATTGC